GTGGGAATTTATCCATGATACCCTCCTTGAAGTAAAATTCCCACCACTGATCATTGAAGTTATTATGGAATGTATTACTTCTACTTCTATGAGAGTTCTCTGGAATAGAGAACCTACTCAATCTTTTAAACCGGGAAGGGGTATTCGCCAAGGAGACCCTCTCTCTCCGTACCTTTTTGTGCTATGTATGGAGCGGCTCAACCAAGTTATTGAAGAATCGATCATTAATAACAAATGGAAGCCAATTAAAGCAAGTAGGAGTGGTCCCAAGCTCTCGAACCTCTGCTTTGCTGATGATCTAATTTTATTTGCAGAAGCCACTTTAGAACAAGCAAATATAATTAAAGGGTGTTTGAACAATTTTTGTGCAGCATATGGTCAGAAGGTGAGCAATGCCAAATCCCGTATTTTTTTCTCACCAAATATGGAGTCAACCTCAAAAAATGTAATAGCAAGTGCCTTACAAATGGAGATAACAGATGATTTTGGTACTTATCTAGGCATGCCTACGATAACTAGCAGGGTTACAAAGGATACTTTTGCCTACTTATGTGAAAAAGTTGACAGAAGATTATCCGGTTGGAGATCTAAATACCTATCTCTTGCAGGAAGAATTACCTTAGCAAAGTCTTCTATTTCCACAATTAGTTCGTATGCAATGCAGACAGCAAAGATCCCAAGGTATATATGTGATGATATTGACAAAAAAGTTCGCAAGTTCATATGGGGGGGCAATGAAGACCAACGCAAAATTCACCTCATATCGTGGGAAACTTTGCAACTCAATAAAAATCAAGGTGGCCTGGGTATGAGATCTTCGAGAGAAATGAATGATGCCTTCCTTACTAAACTTGGTTGGAGGGTTTTGACGGAACCACACTCCTTGTGTTCAAGTGTTTTGAGAGCTAAATATTGCAAGAGGCGATGTGACATTGACATGTTTGAAACAAAGAGCAATATTTCTAATGTTTGGAGGGGTATTACAGAAAATGTGAAGGTCTTAGGACTTGGAGCCCGAGTGGCCATTGGACATGGAAACAGAACGTTATTTTGGGAACATAAGTGGGCTTGTTCGGACAAACTTAGAGAACTTGCCACAGCTCCTATCCCACAGGAACTAGAGGGGGCAACGGTTGAGGAGCTTTGGGATAAGGAGACATGGTGGAAGTGGGATCTTTTTGGTGACCTTCTGCCAGAACATACTCTCAAAGAAATTGCAGCTCACCAAGTTCGAGATGACCCTTCGATGGGTGATTTATTGTATTGAGGTGGCGGTGCTAACGGAAAATTTACTATTAAATCTGTGCTACAAATTATTCGAGGGGAGGTGAATGTGCCGTTGGATGGAAGTTGGGAGCTAGTATGGAGTATTCGAGTTTAGCAACGAATAAAAGTTCTATTATGGCTTGTGTTGCACGATAGACTCATGACTAATGAAAACAGATTTAAGAGAAATCTAACGGATGATCCTAAATGCAAAGCATGCCCTAAACATGATGAAACTATGCTCCATATGCTAAGAGATTGCAAGGTAACACGGGATATTTGGAGACAAGTTGGGGGTCCTGCCAACTCTCCTCAATTTCGAACAGGCTCTTTGAAACAGTGGATAGTGCGAAATATTAAAATTCAAGAGAGGAAGGAACTATCACCAGAAATTTGGCCAACATATTTTGCTTTGGTTATATGATGGACTTGGAGATGGAGAAATAATGTTGTCCATGATCGTGACGATGAAAATCCTATTGATATAAGAGCTTTTTTATTAGCAAAATTTGAAGAAACTTGGAGAGCTGTAGGGGATTTCGAAAGCCACCCAAATGCAACATCGAGACAACGTACTGAAGCTTATATTCGATGGCTACCCCTCCTGTTGGATGGCTGGTTTTAAATACGGATGGAGCAGCAAAAGGGGTCCCTGGTCATGCTGGAGGAGGTGGCTTAATTCGTGATGCAACGGGTAAGTTAGCTTACGCTTTCTCTTTGAACCTTGGGGTATGTAATGCTTTTAAAGCTGAAGCGAGAGCTCTCGAATATGGACTAGAACTGGCAGCAAGATTACAACCTGGTAAACTTCAAGTGCAACTTGATAGCCAAGCTTTGGTGCTAGCTCTTCAAGGCAACCAGACGCATGTTTGCGATTCTACGCATATTATTTCAAAATGTTAACAAATGCTCGAAGATGTGAAGTGGCAGGTTCAAGTACACCATATATACAGAGAAGCAAATAGAGCTGCAGATTGGCTGGCTAATCAAGGAGTCAATCAGAACAACCCTACAGTGTTGATTCAAGTCCCCCCTCTAGCATTAGGGAGAATTTTACATGATGATGTAGTAGGTGTGGCTATGCCACGTTTAATTCCTCCTTAGTTTTATTCTGTTTTGTTTCTTTTCTGGGGCTTTGCCCCTCGTGAGCACCAAAAAAAAAATAAAAAATCTATATCTATAATTAGTATTTAAAAAACACAAACCACAAAATCTTTCCCATGACACATGTCATCACAAGTCACTCATTACCCCATATGTCACATGTCACCTCCCTTAACATTTGTGTTTAAGTCACCTCCCTTAATAATTAACCCAAATAACAACCCATGCATCGAACAGGTCAAAAGACTAGTTTGAGTTAATACAGATACCAATACAACCACATCTTCACAATCAGCTAATTGTTAATTTCATTTCTCTATTAATTAATATCCCCCATTATTGAATTGGACTCACTTCTTACCTCAAAAGTCTCCCAAACAAATTCAAAATAGATTAATTAGGACATGTTCAGCAATATATAGCTGTGAAGATAGCTGTAGTTGTGGAGATAGCTGTGAGATGTGTATGTAGCTGTTAGCTGTGAAAAAAGATAATTTAGGTATGATTGTTCGGTAAAGTAATGGTTGACTAGCTGTTACATTTAAGAATCAATATTTTATTTTTAAAACTATACATTAAATTTTCAAAAGCTACCTCTAATTTTAAAAGCTAATTATATTAGCTTTTAATAAAAGTTACCTCCACCACTAAAAGTTACTTGAACCATTACTTTGCCAAACACTCACATTTTTTGTTGAGTAGTGATTTGACTTGGTCAAACCACTAAAAGCTACCTAAAGCTACTTAAAAGAGAGCCGAACACGCCCTAAGGTACTAATATCTAGGATGTAATTGAGACTCAATCATAATCTATACTTGATTGGCTAAGATATATACTAAGCTAGCATCACAAAAACCCCAAGTATTATTATTCAAGATAAACATTAGCTTAATATTTTTGAAGATTAGCTTTAAGTAAGTGGCCGTACCACTACTAATTGTGTGGGGACTAAGGATAAAGAGTAAAAGACGTGGGACATTGATAAAAAAAATAAAAGGACAGTTTCCTACTTCACAATTAATTTTTAAATTACCAATAGTTTTGAAGCATTTAAGCACACGCCTAGGCCACTTGCATTTGTCTGTTCATAATTCGTCTCAGAAATCTTACACACTCTTTTATTTATGATCACCCCAATTTTAATCTACGAAAATTTAGCTGACAAGGCCAACATCACCCATTGATCTACGGCAATCAACTAACACCACGTACTACTTCCCCACCTTATAAGTCACATTTACCTAATCTCGCAAATGTTAATTACTACTCCCTCTGTCCCATAATATAATTATTGTTTGTGTTTTTTCACGGTATTTTAGAAATAGGAGGAGAAAATGATAAAATACATTATTAAAAGTGAAAAAAATACAATCATAGACAAAGTAAGAGAGAGAAAGTGAAAAAAAAAGTACAAAATATGTACAAAATTTAAGGGTAAATTAACAAGTATAATGAATAAAGTTAAAAAAGTGAGGGTATAATAGATTTTACATATTATCCAAAATTAGAAACAAAAACAACATTTTGGATCTCCAAGATAAGAAAAATAAGAATTATATTATGGGACAAAGGGAGTAGTATTTAAATGGGTTGAATCATTAAACGGGATATCAAAGATAAGTAATAATAATGCCATCTACATTATTTATCGTTTATTTGTCACTTTCTCTACAACAATTTTATGACCTCAATTCTTAAACAAGTTTCCAAAAAGAGGAGTTCAATTCTGAAGCCGATTAGAATAATACATTTCCTAATTGAGCAAATTAAACAAGCTAATACGGGATTAGACTAAAAAAGGACTTTGTTTGGATTCAACGTACGTGATCTTAATAATGGGACAACGTGATTCTCCATTAAGCTTAATTAATTAGACAGGACCAAGTAACTCATTCTCTTTTGGTTTACTAGTTTCTAGTATTCTCTTATTCCGATATAACAAAAGATAAGGACTTACATCCTAGATAGAGACTTGCAACATATGTACAAATCGGGAAAGATAGATTAGGCTAAAAAGCAATTGGCATAGATTCAATCATCATTAATGATTTATACCACTTGCATTGATGCAAAACATATGTCAAACTAGATCAACGAACCTAATTTGAATTGGGATCGAGTTTGAATTGGGATCGAGCTAAACTGAGATTGATAGAGCTAAACTAAATCGGATCGGCTTGATAGACAAGTGAATCGATTTATTACTTTGGCATGTATTTTATGAGCTTATACAACGTAATTGTTTTAATTATCTTCAGAGTAATTTTATTAATCAATGGCCCTTTCTTGACATAATTTTACTCGAATTGGCTAGAATTATACGGAGTATAAAAATATATCTAAATGACTCATCATCTCAATACGACATGTCCGACAATTTGCTTGTCATATCTACTCAAAAGGATATGTACTGTTTACTTATTACTATTCACAATAATGACATGCATGGTTAGTTAAAGCCTTTATAAAAATTAAACATTTAATTAAAACACTAAAATATCAAAACAAAGATAAAAACCTAATATTTTAGTTAAGGACTTAGATAATATTTCTTGTACAATATTTTTTCAACATTTTTTTTAATAGATGAGTAGACTTTTGTAACACAAAGATTGGTAGGCGAAAAGGTCCAAGAGAAGGAATGTCAAGTCTTTTTCTTGGACTCTAGATCTTTCTCTATAATTCATTATTATGAGATTTATGACTCATGTATGTTTCTATATATTCTCATCTTCACCCCAACACTCGTTCACAATATAGTGAACAAAGCTCACAGTCTAAAACCTTCATATATAATCTAACAGCTCTAACATACAACAAACTTGTGACACTATGGTGGGTTTATCCGTTTATGATCTTAAACACGTCTTTAATTACATTCGAAAAATCGATTAGGCATGCTTGTTCTGTTAATATGTCTAGCTAACCTATGTGATGCATACGTATATTATGTAGGAAGAAGCATACGGCGAGCTAATCACATGGGAAGGTTATGTAGATTGGAAGAACAAACCAGCCATTAAAGGTCGTCATGGTGGAATTCTTGCAACATTTTTTGTGTTAGGTTCGTATTTTTTCTTGCTTAATTATCTAACTGTCTATTATACATTCGGATGCAAGTGACATCCAATTTGCAAATGAACTTAACCAATGCGTTGTTTGTTGCTTGTGATTGTCGATCTTGTTACAACCATTAGTTGTGGAGGTACTCGAGAACCTTGCATACTTGGCAAACGCGAGTAATCTAGTGATTTACCTGTCAAAGTATATGCACTTCTCTCCATCCAGATCGTCCATCATTGTAACAAACTTCATGGGCACGGCGTTTCTTCTAGCACTTCTCGGTGGCTTCTTGTCCGATGCTTACTTCACCACATATCAAGTGTTCTTCATTAGTGCTGTAATCGAGTTTATGGTAAGTAGGAATAAAATTAATCTTAATAGATTTTTTATTTTTTCAAAATGCATGTATACTTAATAGTTCAACCATATATTATACTATTTCAACAAGAAAATTGCATCAAATGAATGTTACTACACATGGGATGACTAAGACATGAAAGTAACTTGTAGCATTCTAAAGACTTAATTAAATGTTTGAAATGTGATTATAATTTTATGTTACTATCTCATTAATAACACTTAAACAATAGAAATGGTTCATTAAGTTATTATTACATCTATCACAATTCACAAACAAGAACAAAAGTATTGTCTTAGCTTAAAGTAAGAATTAAGGAAGCTCAATCAACTATTATTACTTGTGCAGGGTCTTTTGATACTCACTATCCAAGCTCATATAGAGTCCTTGCAACCACCACCGTGTCCGCCGACCAAATCGAGCAACGAATCATGCCGTGAAGTCACAGGTGGGAAAGCAGCCGTGCTATTTATAGGCCTATATTTGATAGCACTTGGTGTAGGAGGGATCAAAGGTTCGCTTCCACCACACGGAGCCGAGCAGTTTGATGAGAATACTAAAGAAGGAAGGAAGAAAAGATCAACATTTTTTAACTACTATGTTTTCTGTCTTTCTTGTGGTGCTTTAGTTGCTGTAACCTTTGTGGTGTGGATTGAGGATAACATTGGCTGGCAATGGGGATTCGGAATTTCGACTTTAACTATATTGCTCGCTATACCGATCTTTCTACTTGGATCCACTACTTACAGGATCAAAGTTCCTGCAGGAAGCCCTTTGACAATCATCTTCAAGGTAACTTGTATAGCCTCCTTTTTTTTTCCAACAAGATCGAGTAACACTGTAACAGTGCGTATATCTGAACCTCTCTAGACCCTACCTTTTATGTAACGGGTTATTATAGTGAAGAACAACATTACATATTTAGACATCTAACATGTTAGGTGTCTTATTACAATCTTACATTACCAAGTACGAATAAAGTATGTGTTAAATTGAAACTACTCTTAGAAGTGTGTAGTATAGGTTGAAGTGAGGTCATTGAAGGAGAAAAAAAAAACTCCCTTATAGGTAACTGATTAACAGTTAGTCGTTTAGCCTTATTCACGTGTAAGCAAGCTCATATAATCGTTTCTCATTGTGATTAGGTTTTGACAGCAGCAATTTGCAACAAGCTCTTCCCAAGGAAACCAAGCAATGCTGTCATGAACATGGAAACAAGCCCTCGAATTACAGCTACCGATGAGATACAAACTTCAACAGCAACCGCGACAACAACAGCAACCGCGACAACAACAGAAACATCTGAACTTAAGTTCCTAAACCAGGCAGTAACAAACAATCCAGTCCATCAGACACTAGACTGCTCAAAAAAACAAGTAGAAGATGTTAAAATTGTCATGAAAACCATCCCTATTTTCGCTTCCACTATAATGCTAAACTGCTGCCTAGCTCAACTCTCAACCTTCTCAATCCAACAAGCCGCGACAATGAACACTAAACTCGGCTCCTTAATAGTCCCACCGGCCTCTCTTCCAGTATTCCCGGTTGTCTTCATACTAATACTCGCGCCTCTATACAACCACATCATACTCCCACTAGCAAGAAAACTGACAAAAACCGAAATGGGAATAACTCATCTACAGAGGATTGGAATAGGGCTAATTATGTCCATTGTTGCAATGGCAGTTGCAGCACTAGTCGAGACAAAAAGAAAGAAAGTTGCAGCTCAACGAGGTTTACTAGACTCATCTGAGCCACTACCCGTAACATTTCTATGGATCGCGCTACAATTCTTATTTCTAGGCTCTGCTGATCTTTTTAGCCTAGCAGGTTTGTTGGAGTTTTTCTTTACTGAGGCTCCTAGAAGTATGAAATCATTGGCTACATCTTTCTCCTGGGCATCATTAGCAATCGGGTACTATCTAAGCTCGGTGTTAGTAGCTGTTGTTAATCGAATCACAGGAGTTTCCGGTCACACCCCCTGGCTTAAGGGAAGCAACCTCAATCATTATCACTTAGAAAGGTTTTACTGGATGATGTGTGTGTTAAGTGGTGTGAACTTCTTGAACTACTTGTTTTGGGCTAGACGATACAAGTATCGATCCATGAATCATGGCTAGTCGTATATGATCGATTTGTAGCAGTTCAAATTTAATGTGATTTAATTCATCTTGGAAGGTATTATGTTGTAGTTATTAATATAATGTAGGAAGTTCTTGAGATTTTTAAGCATGCATGTTGTACTGATTATTAAGACAGTTATGCATGTAAAGTATATACGAGTACAAGGGTGGTTTTGAGCATGTGCAGAGTGGTCAATTGCACAGGGACTCTAAATGAAACTAATCTAAAAGAGTCCGATTTTTTAATTTAGTAACATATTTTCCTCAACAAAATGATTTTACGGCTCAGTTTAACAAAATTACTCCGATATTTTCAGTGTTAGCATTTGTAACCCCGTCTTTGACATCAAATTTTAGAATGTTATGACACATCTAATATTCGAGTTTATTACCACTTCATAAATAATAAATAATTACGTAGTACAATATATTTTTTTTTTTTTTTTTTATTTCGAATGGGTTCTATCGATTTATACGTGCAGTCGGTCCATGAAAATACTTTCTCCGTTAAATATAAACTGTCATATGAAAGCTTATTACGAGTATTAATTACGGACATTGGTCACATCAGTATAAATCCGGTATCCGGCCAAAAAAAATAAATAAATCTGTATTAATTTGTGAGGTGAGTTCATGCATATGGGGGACAGTATTTAGTCTACATCATGCAAGCATCATCCAGCGAAGTAACAGCTGCACCTTCAATTCTATGATCGAATATCGTCAGCACTAAAATTGATTTCGAAAACTCATATTAATTTTTGCTAGTTATTAGGCAACCGCCATAGTAAATGATATTGTTACTCTCCCATTTTCTAATTGACTTTGCTACCCTAGGCTTCCTAATTCATGTGAGGGTAGGGGACACGAGCAAGCCCCGGTTTATTTCCGTGATAAACAAAATATGTAAATCAACGGAAAACTTGTAAAGTTTTATGTGAAATGATGTGTTCAACGATTTAATTACAAATTCGCAACTTGATTTGTGTTCCAAATTTATCAAGGTGAAACAACTTATAGATTTAAACAGGGGACATGTCGTGATTAATGAATGAAATTTTTTGATGAGTTGCATTTCTCTCTCACAAAAACAAAAATGAAGAATATTTTTATGAAAATATTTGTAAGTTATTTAATTAATAGACTTTATGTTATACAACAAGGGGATGTAGCTCAGATGGTAGAGCGCTCGCTTAGCATGCGAGAGGTACGGGGATCGATACCCCGCATCTCCACAATTTTTCCCATTTTTTTGGCTTCAAAGCAAGCCAGCCGAAGATTTTTCCATTCAATTTAAGACAATTTGACAACAAGAACCCTGAAGATAACAAGATTACATCAAAACATAAATTATTTTTTTTTTTGACGGGACATCAAAACATAAGTTAGAGCTTGAAAAATTCGACATCAAGATGTGCAATTGGGCAACAAACTTAAAGCTGACAACTTCTTAATCTGTAGTATGATCTCTCCTTTTGCTGTTACTTGTTCTATGTTTCAATGAAGTGCAAGGAGTTTTCAGTGACAGTCTACGATACTTGAGCACTTATAATGTAGTATTTCTTAAGCACTTGTAAAATAAAGGAACCCAACATGCTTCAATATGACAATATGTACAGAACCATACCATAACAACCTTAGCAATGGTCACAGGAAGGCAGGAACATGTTCCGAGAAGCCAAGTGCATTGTCTCGCTCTTTGACTATCTACTATGGTATGGCACTGATGAGCAATACGCCAATACTATCCCTGAGAGGTACTTAGATTCAGCTCCACCCTCAGTTCTCTTAAATCTGTAAGATTATATTTACCTCTGTCCGTGTCATTGGCTGCCACCCTCAGTTTAGTAACTGAAATTTAAGGGAAGTGGTTAGAACAAGAGAATTTTCTTTTTAACATTTCAGAGACTGAAACCAAGACATCAGGTTTCCCTTGCACAGTAATAATTGTAACAGGAGAAAAACAATGCTATTATATGTGAAAAGTTACATGCTCATATCTTATAAAAGTGCAAAACTAATAAAGCCAAATATCCAATTCATACAATCAACTACTGCTCTTGCAATTTCATAAAATCATCCAAATTGAGTTCAGTACAATGACTTGAAATTCTAGTGAAATTGAAATTTAGCAACTTAAACAGAGATTTCTAATTAGAATAAAGCGTAAATTATTCATTATACCATCAAAAACATAGGCCTGAAAGTCTGAAACTGAGATACAGTCAGTTTGTAGAAAGCATCGTTTGCCTTATCAGCTAGGGCATGGAACTGTATAGATTCAACCACATAGACAAATACTTTGTCCTGCAAAAACGGACCACATTTGTACATCATCTTAGTAGTCAATGCTACCGCCAAGTACTGACATGGAATGAATTACTTGAATGAACCTAAAACATCGCATATAAATGTTTGAAATTGATAGGAGTGCAAAATGGACAGACGTGAACAAATTGTGACTGCTGCAACAATCAAAAGGGAAGGCCTTCAGGGTACAAAGCATCTATTCATAGACAATGAAACTTAGGCACTCGCCTATCAATCATACATCATATTTCTTTATCAGCTTGATTAAAAATTTAAATGATGAAAAAACAATGCAATTATAAGCCAATTCAATTTATGTAAAATCTGAAGGATCAGTTTTGTCCACTCACCAGAGATGGTGCATGCTACGCCCATGCCCATGAAACCCAGGACCATATCTTTAGAGTGTCCAAAAGCCCAAGAACAATGGACTGAGTTAGAAGCCACAACAATCAAAGCCACCGAGGTCATGGATCAAACTAAAGCTTTTGAACTTTAAAACTTTCAAAAAGCCCAACCCGAAAGCTTGGTTTGCACCCCCAACTCCCAAACTGAAGATTAATGTTGATGCTTCTTCCTGTATTGCCACAGAATTACTGGTATAGCAGCTATATGCACGATCACACCGGACAATGGATACAAGGAAACACAGCAAATTAAATTTCCCATTTTCAATCTATCCTGCACAGTTAGTTTACTTTAACCGCTGATTATGCTTTCAAGAACAAGCAAACATGACCTTGTATAAGTGTATAATAATATACAGCATTACATCAGTACATGTACTTTTTTCCCCTGCTAAGTAGTGTACAACTTATCATCTGCAATATCAATAGAATGCGACTCTTTGAAGTTTTAAGACTGCGAAAGTTAAAATAAAATGCTTAGAATACGACCTTAGCTAGGTAACTCAATGAACAACTGAACACTACAAAATACTCCAATAGCTGTAAAGTGGACAAATTGAATTGCTAAATTCCTTCATCTAAAGACAAGTTACATTATTTCTCTAGTAATTTTAAGTTTGTTTTATACTTTGTGTTTCTTTTGCCTCTCATATTCTTACTTTGCATAGATCCCATACTTCTATATACTTCATCCTTCATACACCATAACACATTATTAAACACCATAAATTAACACAAACGTCATTGCAAATGATATCCCTTGCCACCAAGGCCGCGGCCGGGAGGTCCATTGTGGCAATACTGAGAAATTGGATAATCTAAAGAACAACTTCATCAATATAATATAAACAAAATAAATAATTATATTATAAACAAGGTTAAGTAGCAGTCAAATACTAGCAAACCCTAATTCATGAACATCCAGAAAAGTAAGCAATAACCCTGTTTTATAATAATCATATTGGGTACTATAAGCACCATAATCAAATCCAAAGTTGAAAGAGGAATTTCGACAAACAGTTGGCGTGCATCAATAAATTTTACTCAGAATTGGTATAAATCAAACTCAAGCTGACATCTGAATTGCGAATGAGTGAGAATGGAAATGGTGACAGCATTACCGACTACCGAGAGTTCATTTGTTGCTTTTCTGAATCAGATTGGTTCTATGTGTTGATAGTATTTTGGGGTGAGTTCAGATTTTTTTTTTTTTTTTTTTCTTACAAAATTAGGTTTTAATGGAAAATAATTTGACTCCCAAAAACTCACTGTTTCGTAATTACGCATAGAGATGTCAATGGGCCGGGTCGGGGCGGATGTTGGCCTTCCCATCCCCATCCCTACCTAAAATTTTCATCCCCATCCCCGTCCCCATCCCCACGGCGGGTCCAAAATTCATCCTCATCCCCACGGCGGGTACAATTCCAAAATCATCCCCGTCTCACCCCCACTTAGATATCCATCTCCATTTAATCCCCACCTAAGACCCGCCTAATCTCCACCTCCCAATACACAATCTAACATATTTAATATTACGTATAAATTACAACAAATAAAATTATTATTAATATTACTCACTTTTTTTAGTTATAAAATTAGTGTATTACAAATTATTATATCTACTATTTTATTTTACATTTTTTATATATATAAAATAGTATAAAAGTATATAATTTTGTTTTATAAAATATATAGATGTGGGTGTGAGGTGGGGTAAGGCGGGTACGAAGTGGGGCAGGTAGAGCGGGGCGGGTACAATGTAAAATCCACCCCCGCCCCATCACCCATGGCGGGTATGATTTTTATTAATTGGTATTCTGTGCACCATGGTGCACAGTAAACTACATGCTCCAGCCCAACACGCGGCCCAATTAACACAACCCAAATAAAAAACACGCCCAACCCAAACATTATGTTTTCAATTTTTTTTTTTTAAAAATAACCGTTCTAATATTGCTAATGAACCGCCACATTATTTTTTTAATCATTTTAAAACATTCTCTCTCTTCTCATAAATTATAAACTTTCATCTCATAAATTAATTTGCATTTCTCTCTCCTCATTTCATTTTTCTCAATCAACTCTAAATTTCTCTCTCTAAAAACTACTGCAATTCCATGGCGAATGAAGAAGATTCACCGAAATCACCTTCAAAAAGGTGAACATCAATCAAATAACTTTGATTTTGATTGAATTTTGATAAATTTGTTAAATTATTGTTGTTTTAATTATTTGAAATGTTAAATCATCGATATAATTTTGTTTTTTTTTGTTTTTTTTTTGTTTTTTTTTGTAGAAAATCAAAACAAAGTACGTCTAGTGGTGAAGACGAACACATGTAAGTGATTTATTGTTCAAATTACCAACAAAATGAGTAATTTAAACCCTGATTTTTAAAATTAAAAATTAATTTGAAACAAAATTATGTTGAAAGGACATTAAGTCAGTTGTTCAATGTGAAAACACCAAAAAAGAAGAAATTAGAAGATATAGAAGGAAGTCCATCAAAAAGGTATATTTTGAATTTTTAATTCATATATTTTCTGTTTAATGTGAATATATGTTATTTTTTTGAAGGATAATTCCAAATAATCAACTGAAAACCCCACAATTGTGTATTTATGTTTGTATATTTGCTTGCATGTTTATCAATTTAAATTATGTATTGATATGTTTTTGAACAACACTTCATACTCTTTTGAACAACTAACAATAAATAACAAAATGACTGAGAAGCTGAAGCTAGGAAAATACTTGTTCCCTAACAACATGATAATCAAAAGTGTTGAAAGTCTTATTGGAAAAAGAAAGAATGATGATTCCAATTTGAGTGAAGATGAGGCTTTCTTTCTTGAAGGCTATTGATCAGATTGAAAGAGAGTATTTGGAAAAAAAGGAAGCTGAGAAAAAAGAAACAGAAAGAAGAGAAGCTGAGAAAAAAAAAACAAAAAGAGAGAACAAGAGCATGGGGAAAACAGAAGGTAGGGGAGGATTATAACATGGATAGTGCTTTTGATTTGGGAATTGATGAACCTCCAACACCACCAACAAATGTTCAAACTGGAGGAAGTAAAAGTCCTATTGTAGGTGGTGCTCCTCCTATGGCAAGTGGAGATCAAAGGGAAGAAAGTACTGGTGCTGGGAAAAGTACTCTTTACCTAACACTTACCATAGGTAGAGGAGAGAAAGGTCCTGAAAAAGAAGTGGCAAAAAGTGGTGATAAAGGAAAGGCAAAGCAGGTGACTTTTGAAATGCCAGAACTTGATGCACATGGAAAGTCATCACATATGCCTTTTGAAGACATGTTTGATGATGCCACTGACTTTTCCAATATATTTACAACCAATGATGCAACACTTGATGATATTTTGACGAACCCGCTTTCAAGGACTTTCAATATCAAGGGTAATGTCATTCTATCTGAACATATATATGTAATTTTTTGGGCAGTAGAGTAGAAAATAAAAGGTGAAAGATATGTAAATATTTTGGAAGTAATGTAATGAATCTGTAATTTTTTGGGCAACTAGGATAGAAGCTAATAAAGTCAGCATAAATATTTTGGATGAAATCAGAACAAGTACAAATATAAATGTATTTATGAAGTATTGAATAATATATTTCCTATATTAATTTTCTGTGTTCAAATAATTATATTTATATGCTCATATGTCTTTTTTGTATGTTCAAATGTACAGATCTAAAGAAGAAGCAGGAAAAGAAAAAGGAGTTTCTGAAAAATCAGTGGGGTAACTGTATAAAACATATATATTCGATCAAAGTTCATTAGCAATTCATATACAGTTCAATTTCATAAATGTATAGTTCAAAAAAACTAACAATACTTTTATATTGTTACATTAGACCAAAAACAAAACAGGATGTTGATGCAAACAAAAGACCATGAAGAGAAGTTACAAAATTGCCGGCTTGTCTAAAATCCCCATTCATGATTAAATATGTGGATTTGTTCAAATATGTTAGTGCAATGCAAGCACCTTTATCTGATTATGCATTCAGTGAAGGTCCTAATGAGTAAGTTTCTAATATAATTTCATTGTTCAAAAATTAATTTACTGTGTTCAGATATTTATTTATATAGTTCAAATAATAAAATGAAGCTTAACTTAGTTTGTTATATTTTTTTTCTTGTATTGGCAGTGAAGTATTGTACCATGATGGAGAAAATAGTGTCAACAGGGAAGAAATGAAGACACTTGGAACAGATGAAGAGGTCGACAATGCAGTTATTGATGCTTTGGCTCATATTCTGAATACCAAAGGCAAAAAACATAGCATTTACTTCTCCACAATGACATACGTAAGAAAATATATATTTAATATTCTTAAATAAACCATATTTAATATTTTTCTACAAACTGTTCAGTTATTTTGTTCAGTGTTCATTATTTTTGTAATTACTGTTCATTATTTGAATGGTTAATTGCAGTTGATTGTGTGCACAGACATGGGTAAAAGTGTGAACACCACAAAAGAAGTAAGACATGAGAAGTTTGCAGAAAGACTGAACTATGAAATGACAAATAGTGGTATCACCAACATAAAAAAATATAGGGAATTCTTTTTTCCTGTTCCTGCATTTAAGCACTTCTACTTGCTATGTATCAACATATACAATGGAACAATTGATTTGATTGACAACAGGAAGCTTCCAATGAATGTCAAAGAATCTACCAAATATGAAGATAATCCTCAAAAAATGGTAAAGTACTAAATTATTTTTTGTTCAATTTGTTCTTAGACTGTGTTCAGTAAATTGAGTTGAGATGTTCAAAAAGTATGTTATTATGTTTTACAGCTAGAAGCTTTAGCATATTTTATGCGAACAAAAGATTATACAGGAAGTGATATTGCTAGAGTCTTAAGTTTCAAGACTAATTTGATCAAGATGAAATGGAGAAGCAATTTGGATCATAAAAATTGTGGTGTTTATGTGATGAAACATATGGAAACATACACAACAGAGCCTTTGGTAGAATGGAATTGTGATTTGAAAGCAAATAATGTGAGTTTCAAAAATATTGTTCAAATGTTTTCTTTTTATGTTCAAGACATTTTATATAGTGTTCATAATTATATAATTTCGAGGTGCATGTTCAGGTTGATCAAATAAGGAAGCTTAGAGTGCAATATTGTTCCGAAATAATATTAAGCCGCACCAAAAAAGAAGGATATAGAGTGAAAATGGCAGCAAGAAGAAGAATGGAAGAGAATTAATATTTAGGTTTATTGACATTTCAAGAGACAGTGATTTTATGTAATTTGTTTGAATTTGAAGTTTGATGAAGACAAATGTTTTTTGAATTTTTAATTTGGATTGAGATTGACATAAGTATGTAATATTTGTAGTAAATGTTGACATTAAACTTGTGTTCAAATATTAAACTGTAGTAGTTCATTTTATAAAATATGTTTGTCAATATTTATTTTGATTAAAAAATTAAAACAATAAAATTATAATGCAAAATTTTTCATATATATTGAAAATTAATAAGCATTTTAATGTTATTACATATTGTAAACCTATGAAAAAGTGTTCAAATATATTGAAAACCTACGAATTACTTGTCTTGTCAAACATTGATAACATTGCATCATAATTTGAAACATTAGAATATCCAGAAGCACGAGACCCTTCATTCCTTGCATTGCGACCAGCATCAAAATACTAAAAACACAAAAATTAAAAGAACGATAAAAAAAAACAAAAAACCAAAAATCATACAAAAAAACAATAATACAAAATAAAGAAGAAAATGTTCACACTTACTTGAGCCCATTTACTAGTTTCATATCGAAAACTTCTGTTATGATTCACTTCAGATACTTTCCTTTTTTTAGCCTGAGAAACACTTGAGACCTAAAATAAAAATATATACTTCAAATTATAATATAATACGTTTAAATTAAATTAAAGAAAGTTCAGTAAAAAAGCTACAATTTTTGCAGAAGACTGAGAACCAGTTGCTGGAAAATTAGTTGAAGCTTGATGACCATGAACCTAGAGAAAATCAAGGTTAGTTCAGAATTTAAGGAAAATAGTTCAAAAAATACATTTATCAGTTCAATATAAAAATTACATTTGATAAAGATGGCTGAGTAGCTCTTGAGAAAGATTTTGTATTTTTAGCTTGACATCCACATACCTAAAAACGTATATTATAAACACACACATGTTAATAAATTATCTTTAAAAAATGTCAAGAACGTTAAGAGTAAAGAGGTTAAATTTACAGAGGAAGGCTGAGCATTTGTTCTTGGAATGGTTTTTGAAGCTTTTGATGCTGATGGCTGAGAAGAATTAGGACCTGGAAAATTATTAGATAATTGACCTTCAAAAACCTACAAAAATAACAAAAGATCAGTAATAAAAAAAAAAAAGAAGTTCAAAATATATATAAGAAAAATCAAGAAAAACATACATTTCTTGAAGAAGACTGTGCAACACTCGCTGGAAAATTAGTTGAAGCTTGAAAACCAAAAACCTACAGAAAATTAAAGATAGTTCAGAATCTAAACAGAAAAGTTCAAGAAAAACCTTAAAAAGTTCAGCAAAAAAATTACATTTGATAAAGGTGGCTTAGTTGTTGGAAAAAAATTTGAAGCTTTTGATGAGGATGCATGAGAAGAATTAGTTGAAGCTTGATGACCAAAAACCTACAGAAAATTCAAGTTAATTTAGAATAATAATAACACAAATTCAAGAAAAACTTAAAAAAGTTCAATAAAAAAATTACATTTGAAAAAGGTGAAGGAGTAGATCTTGACATATTTCTAGAGGAAGGCTGAACATTATTTGTTGAAAAGGTATTTGAAGCTTTTGATGAGGATGGCTGAGAAGAATTAGAGCTTGGAAAATTGTTGGATGATTCACCTTCAAACACCTACAAAATTTACAAGTTCAAAATATAATAAAAAAAAGTTCAAAAGAATAACAACAAAAGTTCAAAAAAAAAATATTACATTAGCTGAAAATTGCTGAGTAGATTTAGTTGAAGGGTTACTATTTTTGAATCCTTTTCCATTTGAAGCTTGAGAACCAGTTCTGAACCCGTCACCAAAAACCTAAAAATAAAAATGAAATTAACATATATAATACAAAACAATTCAAAAAAGAAAATTAAAATATTCAAAAAATACTTACATTTGCTGATGATGAATGAGAAGCATTGGTAGTAGCTTTACTATTTTTACTTTGAACATTCTTTTTCTTAGAAAGTACAGAGAGATTTGGTCCTTGTGTTGTTGGATGTGTATAAACCAAAGGATCTCCATCATCATCTAAAACCTACAAAATTTTAGAAAATTATAAACTATTCAATAAAAAAAAAAGAAGTTCAAATAAAAATAAAAGAGGTTCAAAATTACCTCAACAACCAATTTTTGGACAGTAGCTCTGGCTTCATCTTTGTATTTATCTACTTTCTTTTTCCAACTCTTAGCTTTATGACATGCTTTCTCAACAGTACTTTTTGGCCTGTAGTTTCTCTCACCCTTTTTTCTAGCTATTTTTGAATTGTTTATGAACCCTTCTTCATCACCTTCTTCTTTAGCTTCTTCACCAACTTCAACATCATCAACATGAATTGGACCCATCACACTTTCCACCTTTTCACGTAACATTTGAAAAGTATACTCAACTTCATTTCTTGCTAAAAGATCTTCTTGACATGATGTCACTAACTGAACATACTTCCTAACCATTTGAACTCTCCAAACAGCAGAAGGAACAACTTTAACATCTTCACATGTCTCTTCATCAGACACATGACTACACATAGCCTTCTTAGTCCACCTCTTCACTATATATTGTTCTGGTATTTTTTGCACACAATGAATATTATATACGAAGAGAGTGTCCACATAACAACCCCATCTCACTCCAATACTTACAAGTGCAATTGATATTAAAAGTGAATTTCTCATAAGTAACTTCATGCCTTATAATGTCCTTATTTGGCCTCCAAACATAATAAAAAATAGTCTCATAATCTTCATGCTTTCGCTCTTGACAACATGAAATACCTTTCGCAAATTGATCCTCAAATACCACATACACAGAAATAGTATAAATCTCCCTAGCGTGTATGAGTAAACGAACATTAGCTACTGCAAGATGACGGTTACCCCTCAAAAAACGGAAATCTTGCTTACTTTCTTTACTCCTCCACTCTGATATAACATCAAGAAAGGTACTGTAAAAGTCACTCAAACCATCTGTTTTATTCAATCTATTGGAAACAGAATGATTTGTTGTTTCACTCCTTTGGGATGACAAAACTCCACCCGAAAAATAATCTTTTGAATAAGCAGGACACCCTTTCTCTTTAATATCATACAAGTGATTTAACCAATCATTTTCTGAACACTTGTATTTTGTCATCATTCTATTAAAAAAAACAACAAATCAATAAACAAAATGATAATATAGTTGTTCAAATTACAGAAACAAAAGTTCAAAACATAAATAATACTATTCACATACACTTGTTAAACAAGAAAAGTAAAAATGTTGAAAATAAATAATAAATAGTTCATATTTCTAGAAAGGTTCAAAACTTAATACATTTAATTCAAATATATAAAATTAATGTTCAAAAAGAAACAAATCAGGATAAATTCAATAAAATTAAGTCCGCAAATATGTAAATGTAATAGTTCAGATATCAAATAAAAAAGTTCAAAACATAAACTAAAAGGTTCAAATAATATTAAAGAAAGCTTACCTTGGCCAGTAATGTTCAAATTCAGTAGGACTTTCACAGTACTTAAGCAAATAATCGAATACTTCTGGAAACCCTTTTAATATTCATTCTGAGTCCTCCTATGTTGGTCTTTGAATTCTCACCAAGGTGCCAAGTGCACAAACGGTGCCGAGTGCTTGGAAAAATTTGTCGAATTGCTGCAGCAATTGAAGGGGCTTGATCAGTCATTAAGGTTATGGGGTCTCGACATCCTCCCATAGATCTCATAAAAGCCTCAAACAACCATACAAAACTGCTGGTCTTTTCATCAAGAACAAAACCCATTCCAAACATGACATTATTACAATGATGATTCATACCAACAAAAGGGGCACAAATCATGCCATATTTGTTAGTTCTATAGGTGGTATCGAACACCATCAAATCACCAAAAGCTTCATAATCCCTTTGCATTCTTCCATCCCTCCAAAATACACTACAAAGGACATGATTTCCATCAACCTCAAACTCATAATAAAAGTCACTCTCTTTGGCTTGTCTTGCAGCAAAAGACTTGTTCAAAGCATTACAATCACCACCTTCTAATCTACCGACTTTTTCAGTAGCTAAAGCGTTGTAAACATCAGTAACAGTGTAGCATAGATTAGGAGATCCACCAACTTCTTTCCTTAAAGCACGAAGAGAATCCGTAACCCTAACCCCACTACCCTTCATAGTACTTATGAACTAAAAATGCTCACCTTGAATTTTCCTTTGAGACCTAAGGAGATGTCTTTTCTCAACAGGTATCATAGCATGATTGTGATCCATATTGTGTTTAACATCAGTCCAAACTCCTTTCTCATCAATAACAAAATCAATTTAAGCTTCACAACATGTACGGTAATCCAACTTAGAATCTTTCCTAGGCACCTTGGAAGAAGTATCCTTCAAACCAGCATTTGGACATACATAATTTCTGCCTCTCCAAACACTTGAAGTACCAACATATCGAAGTTTCCCTTTCCTAATACTAAATCCATGCCGAAATGCATAATCATTATACATTTCATATGCCTCCGCATCACTGTTGACTTGTTTCCACTGCAATTCAGACTTTTCACTTTCCTTATAAACAACTTCATACTTATAAACTGCAATAAACAAACAAAATGCATAACAAAAATTATTATAGTTCAAAATAAAAGAACAAAGTTCAAATAAAAGGATAAGATGTTCATAATTACTTGTACAATTCTATATTAAAATATATATAAAATCAAAGGTTCAATATAATAAAATAAAGATTCAAAAAATAACATGACAGTGTTCATAATATATTTAAAATACTAATAATACGACTAATACGAATTATAAACAAATAATATTCATTAAATTCATCAAAAAATGATAAAATTCATCACAAATTAATAAAATACAATAAGAACTCAAAATATCTTAAACAAATTCTAGAAGCTAATCGTAAATTGATCAATAATTTAATTAGTTCATCAATTAATAAATTGAATAATACAACTAATTAAACCTAAATATTATGCAATGTTCAAAATCATATAAAAATTCATAAATCAGAAATCAAATTCAAAACACTTTGAACAAAATCATATTATGCAATATTATCTGGACATAAATTGTTCAGCAAGAAATCAAAAGAGGCGAAAGTTCAAAATCAAGAATTAATGAACAGATTAATCAAAAAATGATGAAAATCAACACAAAATATTATAATACTACTGCAGAATCATATTAATCAAAATCTAATAAAAAATTACAGAAGATTAAAAATAATAGATCAATAATGTGATTAGTTCATCAATAAATCAATAGAAAATACAACTAATTAAAACTAAAAATTATTCAATGTTCAGAATCATATTCAAGAAAATAACAAACCTAATAACTATAAAATAAAAAAATCACAATCTCATCTCAAATATAAGCAACTAAATAAAACCTAATTATACAATGAATTAAAAACAAACGATAATTATAACTTCAAATAATTAGCAATAATTAAAAGTTGCTCAAAAATCACATTGAAAAAACCTAATTAATGAAAATTAATCAAATTCAGAAATCTTACCTCCACTATCAAGAACTTCAGGCACAGAAATCAAATCCATGGCAAAAAAAGAGCAATCAACAATGGTGAGAAGAGCACTGAATTAATCGAAAAGAGAAAGTAACTGAGAGAGAAAATTGATGAGAGAAAACTAGAGGAGAGAGAAAATCAACGAGAGAAAATTTTGAATGATAATTGAAAAGGAAAAATGGAGAAATAAGGAAAGGATTGAAAAAGGAAAGAACGCGGGAAATACGTTGCAAAAATAAGGAAACAAACAGCTAGGAAGAAGCAGCTACGTGGCAGCGCCCTATTGGTGGTGCACGTAGTTCTGTGTGCATAAGGGTGCATATTATAATTTGCGTGATTTTTATCCTCATCCCCGCCCCACCACCCACCAAACCAAGACCCATCCCCGCCCCACTGGGGCGGGCTGACATCCCTAATTACACAACACCTTCCTTTTGAGTTCATTTCATAATATCGTTACACTTTATTATTTGATAACGATCCAAGTATAAGTTTCATATGATTATGTATCATATCCATTATCCAATATTACAATTATTAGTTATGTAATAGAGGGAATATAAGATTTAAACTTCCTACTATTCATTTTAGGTACTAAGTAATGCTCTTAAGCTTTCGCCTCTTTTGACAAATTATTAGTTAAAAAATCTACTTAAATATTACTTTTAAGTTTTCGGCACTCTTTTAGTCTTTCCAACTCACTTGCATAAAATAATTAGTCAACTATAAGGAGTAATTTTTATTTCAATTGAGATGTCGACTAACACTTTATGCACCTTAGTAGCTTCCCTACTTTATCTTATCTCATCTTACTCCACTTTGTATAATTGTTTGGGTTCTAGCAAATAACATTATGTTAATATCCTCATTATACCACTTTGATTGGTTTATTCAACTCTAATCAACAATTATCAAAACTCCACTACATACAATTTCCCTATTTACTAAATGGATAGGTTTTTTTATTTTATTTTATTTTTTTTTTATTTTTTTTTGGAAAAAAGTCTAAAATTAGAAAGTTAGTAAATGTTCAAGAACCAACTATATCACGCCACGTGTAATAAAACACTGAAAATATAGATAGACCTTCTGCAACATGATTGGCTGGTGTCATCTAGAGAAAGATTACAGTATGTGGGTGTGAGGAATACACAAGATCATTGAATTTTGAAAGATTAAAAAAGAAAAGAAAACAAATTGAGGCAATAATTTGATCAACAATCTTTGAAGCAAAGATGGCAGCAATAGCAAACATTGCTGCTGCTTCAACTTCCTATTTTGGAAAGTCTGTAAAATATGCTCAACCTCCATTTTCTCTCTCCTCTACCTCTCCTAGAAATCTCACAATCCTTGCTATGGCATCACAGAAGAAGGTAATTATTACTTTATTTTTATTTTTATTATGTTATGCTTAATTTCATGTTCTTTATACAAGTATTAATTTTGCAGGGTTTTCTTGATTAATTTTATGTTATACTTAGTATAATCTAGTTTTACCTAGATTAATTCTCAATTTTCAATAGTATAAGGCCTTAAGGGTTTGATTACATACTAATCATGTAATGGTACAAGTATAATTAAGGGCCATATTGATTTGTTTTTCCTTGCTTTCTTGTCTTTGTATTTACGTGTTTTCATAAATCATGATAAAGTTAGCAAGTTGTTACATAAGAATAGTGATTGAATCTCGTTGACATCACTCTAAACGAAATTTTTATTATACACCTATTAAAGATTGCATTACACTTTACATCTCCTTTGAGAATGCGAATTTTATTGCAGCTAGTCGGATTTTTTTTTTTGTTATTATAACTAGAAATTTTGGTTTTTGTGACATTAAAGAAAGTTTATCGAACATAGCTTAGTTATAACTTAGGAGAACATGATTATTTAAATTATATTGTACTTATTACCATAAGAACAATTTAATTAAATTTACATTGAAGATTTTGTTGAATTCTATTGCTTAACTAGAAGTACTTTATTAAAATTAATTATACATTGGGTAGAAGCAACTTTTTGAAACTTTATGTACTTAAACAGGTGAACAAGTATGATCCAAAATGGAAAAAACAATGGTTTGGAGCAGGACTATTTTTCGAAGGCAGTGAAGAGGTACAAGTAGATGTATTCAAGAAGATAGAGAATCGAAAAGTTCTTAGCAATGTTGAGAAAGCTGGATTACTATCAAAGGCAGAGGATCTTGGATTTACACTATCTTCCATTGAGAAACTAGGGGTGCTATCAAAGGCAGAGGATTTGGGGTTATTGAGTTTATTGGAGAATTTCGCTAGTTTGTCTCCTGCGGCCTTAGCATCCGCGTCATTGCCCTTGCTAGTAGCCGCGATTGCAGCTGTTGTTCTTATCCCGGATGACTCTACTGCCCTTGTGGCGACTCAAGCCGTGGTTGCTGGCACTCTTTTTGCTGGGGCTGCAGGGTTGTTTATTGGGTCTGTGGTTTTGGATGGGTTACAAGAAGCTGATTGAGTTGTTATTGTGTTTGTATCATTGTATGTATATGATGAATATGTTGTTAGTGCATGGTTGGAGTTATAGATTAGAGGGAGAAGTGTGACAATTTGGTTAAAAAAAAACAAGAACATGTTTGTTTGAGAATTTTTGTGCATTTGTAAGCAAGAATTAGGACTCTTGACTACTATGGATTGAATTTATATGTATGAATTTTGGACAACATATATAGAGGATATTTGAAGGTTTATGGTAGGTTTGCAAGTTTGCACACTATTGAAAATGCATCTTGTTTTTTGTAATGACATTTATAAAGCTCTGGAACTCATCATATTATATGGTTTTAGCCCAACAACTTGGAGTAGATTGATGTCATTTTTAGCTTGTAAGTTGTAACTTTTAAATTTAACATACTCAATACTAAATAAGGTGCACATCAAAAGTTTAAAATTTACTCTATTAACGTTTTAGGACTTGTTCACTCTAGCTTAATTTCAGTTCAATTCAGCTCCTAATTTTCTTCTCTCATAAAATATTTATTTCAGCTCTATTCTTCTTCACCTCAGTTCAATAAATGTGAACATACCATTAGAATCATTTTGACCCTTTAAAGTTTAATTAAAGGTAAAAAAATGACAAATATTATCAAAATAACACAATTATTTATGTTGTGTCATGCAAACCGAATTGTTAATCCTTAAGCGCCATAAATTTGTACTCCGTTAATAAGGAAAGTGGTCTCTCCCTTTATTTGCTGTGATAATCTTCTTGAGTCATTTCAATTGTACGTTAAACCCTAAACACTTCCTTCCTTCCCTAAACAATCAAAACTCAATCGCAATTTCGATTTCTCAGCGAGGTACGCTCTTAATTCACTGCTGTTCTTCATGATTTTGGAATTCAGATGCTAATTTGAGTTTATTTTCCTGCAATTTAGTCCAACTCTGTGTAAAATCTATTGATGCATGCCAACTGTTTGTCAAAATTCCTCTTCTAATTTGGATTTTAATTATGATCCTCATACTACTACTACCCAATCTTATTTTTACAGTGTAGGGTTTAATTTATTGGATTATGGTGTATTTTTTAGTCTTCAAGAATTATGAATTTGCGATATGATTAGGTCTTTTAAGATTGATCGACGAATTTATTTCTTGATCAACAATTAGGGTGTATATTTTACTCTTCAAGGATTGTGTATGAGTTATGATTATGACTGTTTGTTCCATCTGAATTGCCCCTATTGATCTGTGTTTTGAAAATTTGTGAATGAATTTGAATACCCTTCTGCATAAAAGATTGTGTTTAACAATGACTGTGTTAAGAATCGCATTATCCCCGTGGTTGCCGACGAAAGAAAGGGAATGTACAATGATGATTATGATAAGCAATGCATGTTTAATAGGGCTTGGGAGCAAAGGGTATGAGGAAGTCCCGGTTTATGTGATCGAGTTCGGGGTATAAAAGTATGGGGTCAATGACTCAATGGACTCAATTCTAAGTAAAAATAAAAAAGCAGAATGGAGAAAAAACTTGAATTACTGGAGAGAGATAGACGTTGGAAATTATCAAGTCGAGTTGTCCCTATAAAGTTAATGGAAGTTTGGAATTATGATATTGTAGTGCACTTTGTAGTGTTAGCTATACAATCTGTTTTCTTATGTTGTATGCAGTTGTCAATCAAAGTTGTCTTAAATCGTTTGCTTCCCTGCTGTAGTCTGGTGCTTTCTTCTATCGTTTTCACTCTTATTTGAACTTTGAAGGTATTTTAAGTTATCTGGGTCATATTGTTGGTTTGTTTATATTGTAATTTTCGTAGTCTTACTACAATTGATATGGTTTATGCTACATTTTCGTGATATCTCTGTATGGTAAGATGATACACTTGGCATAAGTTTTAAGTAAATAAAGAAATAAAGATAAACAGATGTGATTATACTGGGTCCTTGTGCATATTAGTTCTTGAAAGCATAACCAGCAGTTCAACGAAACCAATTGTGCAGGATAGACTGAAAATGGGCAACTTATTTTGCTGTGCACAAGTTGGGCAATCAAAAGTTGCTATTAAGGAGAATTTTGGCAGATTTTCTGAGGTACTTGAGCCAGGATGCCACTTTGTTCCTTGGATTTTCGGGAGTAGCATTGCTGGATATCTTACACTGAGGTTGCAACAATTAGATGTGAAAAGTGAGACAAAAACTAATGTTGGTATGAACAAAACTGTATCTTCTTAATTTAGCAGAGATCGAGTCAATGGGCTTGTGTGCAATATTCTTTTATTCAATCAAGCTGATAAAGAAATATGTTTTGATAAGTTGAATGCTTAGGTTTCAATACCAATGAATAGAAGTTATAACTCTTAGGTGCCCTGGCTTATTTTGCAGCATTCACTTTTTGCTCAGTTGATGAGATGTTTAAAGGTCATTTTAGTAATCTGTTCAACGTCTGTACATTTCTGTAGCATTTATTGATGAGATCATGTATAATTGAGGCTATTTTTTTGTGCAGGACAATGTGTTTGTCAATGTCGTTGCCTCTATACAGTACCGTGCCCTGGCTGATAAGGCAAGTGATGCTTTCTACAAACTAACCAATACAAGATCTCAGATTCAGGCCTATGTCTATGATGGTATAATAAATTTAACTATTTTATGCTATAATAAATCTTTCTGTTCTAGTTGCTGAATTTCAACCTAACTACAATCTGTCCATCCTTTTTCTATTTCCTAGTTATTCGAGCCAGTGTCCCAAAACTCAATTTGGATGATGTCTTTGAGCAAAAGGATGAAATAGCAAGAGCAGTGGAGGACGAACTACAGAAGGTTATTTTGGCTACAGTAATTGATGTCTAATTTTGCTTTTCCTCCCTTCTATATCCAACTCTAATGTGTCCTTTATCCAAACAGGCAATGTCTTCTTATGGTTACGAGATCGTCCAAACACTCATTGTCGATATTGAACCAGATAAGCATGTCAAACACGCAATGAATGAGATCAATGCTGGTAATTATCCTCTTTCTGTTTGAGCTATCCATTGTAGTACAGTAGAACAGCTTCTGTATTGGGTAGTGTATCATCATCTAGCAGTATAAAACCATTGGTTGAAATCTGGTAGGCAATATATGTTTCCTGATACGTCAGATTGCTAGGCAAAGGAAGTAGTCATGACTACAGGCATCTTGCTAATGCTTCACATCTATAAGTTGTTTTTGACAATTTCAGTTATTTTTATGAGCTCATCATTTTTCACAAATGTTAGCATAGTTTTTCTCCCATCCCAATTTTTGTTGTGGGAGAGTGAAGGATCAATGATGTTCTTAGTTCAGTTGCTGAAAAATATTAGGCAAAATAAATTCTCATTCTTGCTATAATCACTTCCCAATTTTTAGCTGCAAGACTGAGGGTGGCTGCCAATGAGAAAGCAGAGGCCGAAAAAATCTTACAGATTAAGAGAGCTGAGGGTGAAGCTGAATCCAAGTACCTCTCGGGAATGGGTATTGCTCGTCAGCGTCAGGCCATTGTAGATGGTCTAAGAGACAGTGTGCTTGGCTTTTCAGAAAATGTTCCTGGGACCAGTGCTAAGGATGTCATGGATATGGTTTTAGTCACCCAATATTTCGACACCATGAAGGACATTGGAGCATCATCATCTAAATCTTCAACAGTCTTCATTCCGCATGGACCTGGTGCAGTTCGTGATGTGGCTTCTCAAATTCGCAATGGGCTTCTCCAGGCTCAAAATATGCATCAATGATGGCCAGAAAAGTAAAAAAAGTAAAGTTCTAACTTGTCAGAAAGTGTGGAAGGTATTCTGATCTGAATATTGTGCATAATTTGTTCATATTGCTTCAATGCTCTTAGTTAATCATAGGAGTATATGGGAATGATAGCTAAAATTGTTGATATGACCTGGCTATTTGCTGAAGTTTTTTTTCCTTGTTTTCTCGTACTTAATGAAACAATTTATACATATACAATTTGGTAATAACTTCATTTATCTCCAATAGTAATTTTTTGCCTGCTTTTATGATTGCCATATTATTATGATTTTGAAGGCTAAATAAGGATTGTAGTTAGCACTGTTAGCCGCTGCTATTTTTTATTTTTATTTTATTATTTTTTTTAATCCAATTTTGGCAGAATTAGATCTCTTAACACAGTTTCTACAAATCTCAAAGGTGGAAAAATATAGAGGGACAATGGCATGCTAGCCTGGGCTGGGGTTTCGTTCGAGGAACGGAAATTTTATTAAATATCATCATAAAATGTCACTGAAAATTTCTGTGCAGTATAGATACATTATACAAGTACTATCTGATAGCTAAAGGGGAGGGAGAATATACTACAGTATAAATTTCAAAAATTGTCAGCTTTAGAGGGTAACTCGTTTGTAATTTATTAGTCTTGTTTGAGATCAGGATCATCTTCCTTGTTTGGGTTAGCAACTGCATTCTTTTCAGCTTCTTCAATGGATTTCAGGATCTCCTCTCTCTTAGCTGCCAGATCGCGCATCTTAGTGTCGATTTTCTCGAGCTTGAGCTTAAGTTTCGATGGATCCTTCTTATCTTCAGGGTTCTTTTTCTTCTTCTCTTTTCCACCACCCTTTTCTTTGCTGTGTTCTTGATTATTATCACCTTTTTCCTTGCTTTCCTTGTCTTTCTTCTTCTTTTCTTTAACTTTCTCTTCGACTTTTTCTTCGACTTTCTCACATTCTTTTCCCTCCCCGTCTTGGTGCTTCTGCTTAATCTCCTCCTCTGTTCCTCCCATGATTATGAAAAATGAAAGTATATTATATAATTCTTGTAGATTTTCCTGGTTGATTTACTTATCTTTGGAATTAGATTCGAAAATAAAAATCCTCTTGTTTATTATGTATAAGTTGTTATTCTTTTTATAGGCTAACACCTATTTTTAGCTTTTCATGAAGTACAAATTAATCAATGGCCTGAGAAGAGGTTTTTTTCCTGAAAATGTGAATGCCCATTGGTTTGAACTTTGAAGTACATTGTGGAATGCAATTTGGTCAATCTTTTTGTAGGCAAAATAATAAAGGGCTTAAGGAACGATATTATCGCCTTATCGGAAATTCTTTTAATTGTACTATTTTTAAAACGGCTTGGACCCTTTCTTTTTATTACAATGTTGTTACTAGAGTAGTAGAGTGTTAACGACATTCTATTCTTAGGGGGTGTTTGGTTCATGGAGTCTAGTTATGTAAATGAGTTTAGAATTACTTTGTGATTGGTTTATGATTTTAAGAATACTATCTCAATCAAAGCATAAGGGGAGGTGGGTTTATTCATACCAATACTTTTAGGTATCAAATAAAAGAAAAAAAAATACTTTATACTTCATCTTGAATCAACCCAAACATATAGCAAGAATCAAGTTCTAAACCCATAACATTATGATTTCATTCCTGATTCTAACCGTATGCCATATCATTTTACGAATCAAACCCCCATAAATTGTAAAATTCTACTCATGTATCAATTAAAGGCCAGAGTTCAATGCCTCGAACAATAAGACCACTCTTCCAACCGATGCCTTGAACCTCATTCAGTGTCATCTCCAATACCATCTGTTCAGCCGCAGCCTTAGCACTAGAATCAAAATGGAATATGCCCATCTCGATCTCCATCCATCCATCAACTCTTTCCTCTGGAAGCTCATCAGGATCTCTACGCAAACTTCGTCCTGAATCTCCTGATGCCGCCTTCAGATAGAATTTGTTAAAGACAACTCCATGATGGTTGTAATTATTTGCCAGTCCTTCAGAATTTGCAAATACAGACACCATAACTGGTATTAGGGATGGCAATATTAAGTGGATATCCACAAACCCGCTCCACCCGCTATAAATATATGGACGAAAACCCGAATTAAATGGATGAAAAGTGGGTGACGGATGAAGCGGGTGATGGATCGGATCGGATGTGGATGATACTTTTTTCATCCGCTAACCATCCACCCACCCATTTAACATATATTAGATTTTTTAATTTAAGAATTTTAATAATAAAATATGAAATGTGCAAGAAAATTACTTATTTTTTATGTTGCAAATTAATTTTTCAAACATATATTGTTATTGTTTCATTTTTAATTAATAAAATAAAAAAAGTTATTGTACAAATAACCGAATTTAGAGTTTATGTGAGTTTTTTTTCCATTTTAATACTTATCCATTAATCATCCGCTCCACCCGTTTCATTCGCGGATGATGGACGGACGGATATGGATGATGGGTGAAGCGGATGATGGATGGAGCGATTAAAGTAATCAATGGATGCGGGTGAAGCTCCACCCGATCCGAATCCGATCCATTGCCATCTCTAACTGGTATATGTTCAAATCTATAAGCATGATTGTCATCTGCATCTGTCTTGAACACAAAATACACGGCGTATGTTGTATCTGGCGATAGGAATTTGGTGTGTATTCTTCCTTTTATTTCTAGACGACATTCATCATAGTCTGTATAGAGCTCAACAATCTCTAAGGACCTACAAAAAGATCATGCATTCTCATTAAGAGGCACTTTATCTAAGAGTGATCATACATTAACATATATACAGAGTAGTCGCATACGTATTAGAGTCTAAGACTATGCTCTGTTCCCTTAATTTTTACTATAAGGGATAATCAAGTATAGTACAATTTACAATTAAAATGAATTAAGATAAGTTCAGTTAAAAATAGAATATTGTGTATTTGCATATGTAGAAACTAGAATGAGAAGAAGAAAAACCTTGATCTCGGTACATATTTCCAGTGTTGATGGGTGCCTCCCCAAGCTATATTCAGAGCCCTTGCACCAAGCCTGTAGGATTTCTTTCCAGTCTATAAATCCAAGGAAATCTCTATGTTATGCAGCCAAAAATTAACATGTACAGAGTAAATCAGTATATTACCAAGTGGAGTAATAAAATTGTGCTACGTGACTAAAATTCGGCTCATGACTCAACATGACCAAAGAATTAGTAAAACTTATTACGGAGTATCTTTTACCACGTGTATACATTACGGAGTATTTTTTCCCCAAATAAACGTGTTGGAAAATAATAACATGGTACTAGGATCAATTAAATTTTGTTGAATGGACCCCACCTGACTGACTATGATTACAAATTTGCAAGTAGTTTCAACCTAAAAGTTACAACTCTTACAAGTTCAATTATTTGGAAATACGGGATTCTCTTTTATCCATATGTAATAGTCAAAAGGAAAAAAATATATGCAGTCTTAAAAACGGTATATAAGAAGCTAAAAATGAAAAGAAAAGAAAATGAATAAATATTTACATCACCAATTTACTCGTGAATTGTCGATAAATTTTCAACTTAATACTAAAAGGGAAATATATTAAATACTTATATGCTGCATATAACATTACCCTAGTCAAAATTATCTCTATTAATATCATCTTCAAAAAAAAAAAAACTTAATTTTTTAGAAATTTTATACGTGTTTAATTTAATATAAAATTGCTACCTCATACAAAGACCAATCAGAAAGCGGAAATATAAGAGTAATTAATAATCAGGTGTAGAAATTGAAAATCCAAAAATTCAGATATTCAAAACTTATCCAAAAACTAATTAAAATGCAAAAAAAAACAAAAAAAAATAAAATCCTTTTATTAGATTCCTATTTCTAACATTTATACATCACATAATAAGAAAAGTAGGAATCTAATTAAGGAATGAAAGGAGTAGTAATTACCTTAGAGCAATCATTGTTCAAGAGTATAGGAGATCGGCAAAGGCGAAAATAGAGTTCCTTTTTTGAAACAATTTGTTCTTGTTGTTGTCGTTGACCATGTACAAGCTGTGTGAACGATTGGTCGTCGATGAAGTGATCACAGTTTAAGGGAATAAACTTCTCCCAAGCTAAATCGGATTCGGAGGCGGCTAAAAACTGCTTTGACACCGCCGATGATCGGATGACATCGGTGGGCGTCGTCAAAGAAAGGATTTGCGAAAGACATTCTTCAGGTAAGTCTATGAAGCTTGTACTTGACAAAGACATGTTTTTAAGATTTTTGGGGTTTTTGCCTTTTTAAGGGGATTAACAAGAAATGAAGTTAAGGAAAAAGGAGGGAATAAATGAACCAAGTCTTATTTTAATTGCTCTTATGCCTCTTAAGTCGAGTCAGCAGCCCCCGCTTGGGTCTTTTTTTTTTTTTTTTTTTTTTTTTGGTGGTCTTTAGAGTTTAGAAGAGTTTTACACCCATCCATAATTAACCCACGACCAAAATTGTCGACATGACTAATCAACTAACGTAATTCATTAATTAAAAAGGTTCACATAAAATAGTTGTATCTTGTATGTGGTCCCTAAAGCCTAAATTCAACAGTTTTAATGAATAGTTTTATTTATTTATTTATTCTATTTTGAGGAGGATGAATAGTTTTGACAATTACGATATAATTTAGGTGAAAACAAAACAAAATTTCATGTGCTGTCGAGGTTACTCGATCAGTCATGGTTACTGGTCAGAGGTTATTTAGTTAGACAGTGAGACAGGTCATATTATGTATGTGTCAGTCTGTCAGACAACGCATGGCCAAACAAACAACACACTTTTTAAACATACATAGTCTATTCATATGTTTACATTGACTCTATATTTTATTTTTATTAATTTATAAAAACACTGTAATATATTTTTGGATTAGTCGTCTTTATATATATATTTTCATTAGATCAAGCTTTTACAGTTGTTAATATATATAATTATAAATATTATGGTCAAAGTTGTGAATCGGCTTGTGTACTGATCAAAGTGTTGTGATTAATATAAAACGAATAGAATATATTTTTATATGCTCTTAATCTAATGACGACCAAAGTTCAACCTTGAAAATCAAAAGTGCCTTATCAAGTTCTCCATGATTGATATTGATACATTCCCTCTATTCCCTTTTTCTTTGTCCCATTTGACTTTTCACGGTGTTCAAGACAATTTTTAAAACGTACATAACTTCATATCTATATGCGTAAAAACTATAAAAGCTAGATATATATTGATAAAATATACAATAAGATGAATCTAACAAGACTTTCGATTAATATAAACTTATGGTCAAAAATTTTAAAGTTTGACCTAGGCTATTCATTTGCAATGGGGAAAAAACCGGAGACAGAGGGAATATTATCAAATCTAAACATCATTTATAAATTAATTTAAATATTGTATCAACACACAATATTAACTAGTGTGACAGCATGATATGTTGATTGGGCTTTAAAATTAACATGGGCCGGACTTGACATGACATTTTCAATACATGTTAGAGCATTAAGCTTCATTAGGCTGAGTAGGGCTTACACAACCTAGTTTGTGCGAAAACCTCAACTTTATTCATTAAAACGATCATAAATTAAAGAACCAAAATCCAATACTTGTTCCATAATATATCAACCCAAGTTACCCAACATAATGTCATAACATCATCAAATAAATGGTGATGACAATAATGTACCACTTACAAACCAACAACCATTCTATGCAATAAAGCTAATAATCAATCCAAAGGACGAAGCTCAAAGCCATAAACAATAATTCCACTCTTCCAAATAAGTTGTTTAGTTTGCTTAATCCTCATCTCCAACACTTTCCTTTCATTCGAACCATTATTTTCACCAACACGATACTTGCTCATCTCTACCTCTAGCCATCCATCATTTCGTTGAGCCGGCCACTGATCGTCGGACCTCGTCGCAGCTCTCGAATACGACGCTACCTTGAGGTAGAAATTCTTGACGGGGGGTCCATTATTATCATCAGTGGATGGGTCTTCTTCATTAGCCTCGATCACAGACGCCTCGACGGGTGTACGTTCAAAGCCGTAGCAACGGCCGATAGCAGGATGCTCCTTGTACACAAAGTAGACACCATAAGTTGTGTTTGGCGAGAGGTATTTGGTGTGGAAATTTCCAATTATATCTAGCCAACATACGGTGATCAGTGATGCAACTTCCGGGAACCTATAATTTTAATAAAACATGTTACAATACTTACAAATCTTTCAAATTAGACCCCATTCTATTTACCTTAATTTTGCTGAGCTGAAATTATTTTTACTAAACTGAAATTATTTTTGCTGAACTTAAATTATTTTTACTGAACTTAAATTAATTTTACTGAACTTAAATTATTTTTGTTGAACTAAAATTATTTTTTACTGATTTTCTATTATAATTTTTCTTTACAAAAATTGATTTTTACTGAACTGAACTTATTTTTACTGAACTGAAATTAATTTTACTGAACTGAACTTATTTTTAATGAACTGAAATTATTTTTCCTTAATATTATTTTTTAAGGTGAAGAGAACAGGGTCTTATTGATATGTATAGTACTAGCTCATATTTATATGTTTTCAAGTTTTTGTTTTGTTTTTTTTTTTTTTTTTTTGTTGTTGTTGTTGTTGTAGGAATTTAATTTTAAGTGTGACAAATTTCTAAATTATCTAAAATCTTGCATAGCAACCATAATAAATACGGAGTATTAATTTATTATTGTCAATTATTCAACTGGTAATTGTACCTTATAACGTATCTTAAGCTTTTATTTAGTAACTACTAGTTTTGATTTATAAAATATGATATAAAAATAGTAAATTGAAATAGAGTTAATTGAAATTAAATAACTTATGTAACACTTTTTTATTTTAATTTGAATTTAATAATGTCTATTCTTTAAATTTTTGTAATAGATTTTTTTATATATAAAAAAAAAACAACAGAAGAGCATTTTGGATGGCAAATTTTTCATAAAATCATGCCAAGTGTCCATTCGGTGATTACTTTAGTATATAGTATACATATAGATAAATATTATAAAAAGTTAATATTATGAAAATTCGAGAGAAATATAACAAGATACCAAATGATAATACCTTTTTCTAATATAAAATTCACAAAAGAAGATAATCAAAGAAAAATATGTGTGAATAGTGTAATTAAAATTACGAACATTGCGACTAAAAAAGAACCGGGGAAGTATAATAAAGTACATTATACATAGAGAACTTGTTGAATTGACTACCTTATATTTTGATGATTGACTTACGTAAAACAAACTCCGACTAATGATGTTTAAAAGAGTCTTGGTTAAGCAGAAGATTCAGGTTTGAAGTAATATGTTCCGGAGTAGGAACAACAAAGTTTGGAAGACTTGATGATGAATGCAAGCTTTCAAGATGTCCTCATATCTCTATATACTTAGTTACTCAGTGTATGAACTTAAGAAACAAAAGTGTTGGAAGGAACTAAGAAGAAACATGAAGTTCCTGAAGGAACCTGAAGTTCCTGAAGGAACTTGACGATTAACGGATGACTCAGAAAAGTTTTTAACAGTTTTCAAAATCCTTAATTTAAGGAAGAGATAAAATCAGTTTGAAAATATTGGGATAAAATCAGTTGAAAAGATTTATTTTATAAATAAATAAAATCTAAATAATTCTTTAATTTAAAAGATAAATTTATTTTAAATTAATTAATTGTTTAAATATCTTTTTAATAAATAAATATTTATCTTTTTAATAAATGTTCTTTTAAACTGATTTTTGACTTGGTAAAATTCTGTTTGCTTAAAAACAGGATGCACGTTGGATTTGGGAGTCAAGTTAGTGAAATCATGGTTCTCAACTTCCTCTACTTACATCCCAACTTCCCAGTATAGGTGAACGTGGGATTGAGGGGGAAGTAGGAACATGATGGAAGCTTGGATAATCTCCCTATAAAAACAGATCAACGTTAAGTTTTGAAAGTGTGGAAAAACAATCTTAAGTATTCTGAGCATAGAGTTTCAAAGTGTTTAAAAGAGAAGTTCCTTCCATCCTTAGTCTCTTAAGTTCTTTAGAAAATACTTGTAATCATTGTGTAATTGGGTTTGGGTTGTGAGAGTTGTAAAGTGTGAGATTTGAGAGAGTTGTTTACACTGTACAAGTGATTCGGAGTAGAATCACAAAGTGTGAGAAACTGTGATTGAGGGATCACAGTTGGGTAACTTGAGTTCCTCACGGAACTTGAGTCTAGGCAACGTATTAGTGATTGTAAATCATTTTTACATAGTGCATTTATTCATTGCCTATCTCAGTGTCTTTTCTCTTAGTAGTAGATTTAATTCCGCAAAATTTACCATAGTCTACATACACTACAATTCACCCCCCCCCTCTTGTAGTATACATTGTTCTATCAATTGGTATCAGAGCAAGGAACTCGGAAAAGAAGGAAGCCCTGTCGAGTCAAGTTCCTGGAGGAACAATGTCAAAGGACGAGAGACTAGCTGAAGGTTACTCTACACAAAGACCACCACTCTTCAATGGGAAGTACTATGCCTATTGGAAGACAAGGATGGAGATGTTCATACAGTCCGAGAATTATCAAGTCTGGCGAGCTATCGAAGTAGGAGATTACGAGGTAACCAAGACCAATGCAGAAAATGAGGTAATTCCTAAACCTATCTCTGAATATGATAGAAATGACTTTGAGAAGAAAGAGATTAATGCTACTGCTAAAAAACTCCTAGTTTGGGGTTTAGGGCCAGATGAACACACTCGTGTTATGGGATGTAAAACAGCAAAAGAAATATGGGATTTACTAGAAATAACCCACGAAGGAACTCATGAAGTCAAACGTTCTAAAATTGATATACTGCTTTCTAAATATGAACGTTTTGAAATGGGTTCAAAAGAAACTATTCAAGAAATGTTTACTCGTTTTAAAAATATTACTAATGAATTAATTTCTCTTGGTAGAGTTGTTCCTATGGATGAACAGGTACGCAAAATTCTAAGAAGCCTTCCTGAAGATGAACGGTGGAGAGCCAAAGTGGCTGCTTTGCAGGAATCAAAGGACTTTACAACCTTTAACCTTGAACAACTTGCAGGTTCCTTGATAACTCATGAGCTTCACCTATCAAACAAAAGTCAAGAAAGCTCAAAAAGCCGAGGAATCGCTTTAAAAGTTGCCCAACCAAGTGATGAGGATTCCGAATCTGGAGAGGAAGAAGCTGCCATGCTAGTCAGGAAGTTAAAAAAGTTGTACCGCAACAAAAGGTTTGGTGACCAAAAGAAAAGGAACTTCAAGAAGAACCAATACTCCAAGGAAACAGGAGGTTGCCACAAATGTGGGAACACAGATCACTTCATCAAGGAATGCCCTCTCTGGGAATCAGAAAAAGGAAAAGGCAAAATGAAGGAACACGGAAAATCTAATACTCCTAACTTTTCAAAATCTGATTACAGGAAAGCCATGATAGCTGCGTGGGGAGACACAAGTTCTGAGGATGAAGAAGAATCCACGGAAGAAGAAACTGCAAACCTGTGTTTGATGGCTAAACACAGTGAAAGGTCAAAGGAGGTCGTAGTGAGGGGGAACAACCAATGGTACCTCGATAGTGGTTGTTCCAAGCACATGACAGGAGATGAATCAAGATTTCTCTCACTGACGGCCTATACAGGAGGAACTGTGACCTTTGGTGATAATAAGAAAGGCAGCATTGTTGCCGTAGGAAAAGTTGGAAGGTCAAGTTCCCAAGCTATTGATAACGTTTTTTTAGTCGAGGGCCTCAAACACAGCTTATTAAGCATATCACAATTTTGTGATAAAGGAAACTCA